AGACTAGACTATAGACTAGACTATAGACTAGACTATAGACTAGACTATAGACTAGACTATAGACTAGACTATAGACTAGACTATAGACTAGACTATAGACTAGACTATAGACTAGACTATAGACTAGACTATAGACTAGACTATAGACTAGACTATAGACTAGACTATAGACTAGACTATAGACTAGACTATAGACTAGACTTAGACTAGACTATAGACTAGACTATAGACTAGAATATAGACTAGACTATAGACTAGACTATAGACTAGACTATAGACTAGACTATAGACTAGACTATAGACTAGACTATAGACTAGACTATAGACTAGACTATAGACTAGACTATAGACTAGACTATAGACTAGACTATAGACTAGACTATAGACTAGACTATACTAGACTATAGACTAGACTATAGACTAGACTATAGACTAGACTATAGACTAGACTATAGACTAGACTATAGACTAGACTATAGACTAGACTATAGACTAGACTATAGACTAGACTAGACTAGACTATAGACTAGACTATAGACTAGACTATAGACTAGACTAGACTAGACTAGACTATAGACTATAGACTAGACTAGACTATAGACTAGACTATAGACTAGACTATAGACTAGACTATAGACTAGACTATAGACTAGACTATAGACTAGACTATAGACTAGACTATAGACTAGACTATAGACTAGACTATAGACTAGACTATAGACTAGACTATAGACTAGACTATAGACTAGACTATAGACTAGACTATAGACTAGACTATAGACTAGACTATAGACTAGACTATAGACTAGACTATAGACTAGACTATAGACTAGACTATAGACTAGACTATAGACTAGACTATAGACTAGACTATAGACTAGACTATAGACTAGACTATAGACTAGACTATAGACTAGACTATAGACTAGACTATAGACTAGACTATAGACTAGACTATAGACTAGACTATAGACTAGACTATAGACTAGACTATAGACTAGACTATAGACTAGACTATAGACTAGACTATAGACTAGACTATAGACTAGACTATAGACTAGACTATAGACTAGACTATAGACTAGACTATAGACTAGACTATAGACTAGACTATAGACTAGACTATAGACTAGACTATAGACTATACTAGACTAGACTATAGACTAGACTAGACTATAGACTAGACTAGACTATAGACTAGACTAGACTAGACTATAGACTAGACTAGACTAGACTATAGACTAGACTATAGACTAGACTATAGACTAGACTATAGACTAGACTATAGACTAGACTATAGACTAGACTAGACTATAGACTAGACTATAGACTAGACTATAGACTAGACTATAGACTAGACTATAGACTAGACTATAGACTAGACTATAGACTAGACTATAGACTAGACTATAGACTAGACTATAGACTAGACTATAGACTAGACTATAGATTAGACTATAGACTAGACTATAGATTAGACTATAGACTAGACTATAGACTAGACTATAGACTAGACTATAGACTAGACTATAGACTAGACTATAGACTAGACTATAGACTAGACTATAGACTAGACTATAGACTAGACTATAGACTAGACTATAGACTAGACTATAGACTAGACTATAGACTAGACTATAGACTAGACTATAGACTATACTATAGACTAGACTATAGACTAGACTATAGATTAGACTATAGACTAGACTATAGACTAGATTATAGACTAGACTATAGACTAAACTATAGACTAGACTATAGACTAGATTAGACTATAGACTAGACTATAGACTAGACTATAGACTAGACTATAGACTAGACTATAAACTAGACTATAGACTAGACTATAGACTAGACTATAGACTAGACTACAGACCACACTATAGACTAGACTATATACTAGATTATAGACTAGACTATAGATTAGACTATATACTAGACTATAGACTATACTATAGACTATACTATAGACTAGACTATAGACTAGACTATAGGCTAGACTATAGACTAGACTATAGACTAGACTATAGACTAGGCTATAGACTAGGCTATAGACTAGACTGTAAACTAGACTATAAACTAGACTATAAACTAGTGCGGTCTATAGTATATACTTTAGACTACAGTCTGTGACCCTTAAATATAAATAGCATTCCCAAATGATTTTGTGTACTGTTCTATAACACAAAGCTCCTCCCAAATCGTTTTTATTATTAGAAATATGTTTATTAGTTCATTATAAAACATTTAAATTTTGTACATTTTTAAAAAACATACACTTCCTTTTCAGTTAATTTCTTTAGATTTTTTCCCTTGAGAAGAAATTTGATATTTTTTTTTCAATGGCTTTTAAAATATTGCAAATCAAAGAGGCGTATTTCTCTCGCCAAATAAATATTAATTGAAAATAAGCGGATTTTTACTTTTCCAAAACATATCTTTATGCCACAAACATTAAAAACCCAAACCACAATTAAATCCTTAAATAACAATGCAACACATATCAAACACAATACGCGCAACAAAACAATTCTTTAAGAAACCGCTTTACTAAACAAAAACAACGAAATCAATCCTAAACCCGAAAATCCTTTAAGGACTTTGGGGTTTAAAAAAAAACCAATCAAAACTCATTTTTGCACTCCAAAAAGGAATTCAAAGGGAACAGGAAAAAAACAAAGAATTCATTGTTGACAACAATTGTTTAAAATTAAAAAAAAGAAAACCATACAATATTTAAGAACAAGGATTATAAACCAGGATTGAAAGCATGAACAAAAACAATACAAAAATTCTTTTGTTGTTGGCAATTGAAACGGAAGGAGCGATCGCTGTTTAAGCTGTGGCTGACACAAACCGCGTATTTCTTTAAGTTTTCAGCAGCATCTTTAGTCCAGCTTTCGTATTCACATTATATTACTTGCAAACAAATGTATTTTGTGTGCTGTGTTTTTTTTCCATTAAAGCATGAGAATAAAATAAATTTTTAATTTAAAGAAATTTACAAAGAAATAGTCAAAACGGAATAAAGAGATAAATTAAGCTGTCACCAGGGATTACAGAACTGAACTAGAACTGAACTAGAACTCAACTAGAACTGAACTAGAACTGAACTAGAACTGAACTAGAACTGAACTAGAACTGAACTAGAACTGAACTAGAACTGAACTAGAACTGAACTAGAACTGAACTAAACTGAACTAGAACTGAACTAGAACTGAACTAGAACTGAACTAGAACTGAACTAGAACTGAACTAGAACTGAACTAGAACTGAACTAGAACTGAACTAGAACTGAACTAGAACTGAACTAGAACTGAACTAGAACTGAACTAGAACTGAACTAGAACTGAACTAGAACTGAACAAGAACTGAACAAGAACTGAACTAGAACTGAACTAGAACTGAACTAGAACTTAACTAGAACTGAACTAGAACTGAACTAGAACTGAACAAGAACTGAACTAGAACTGAACTAGAACTGAACTAGAACTGAACTAGAACTGAACTAGAACTGAACTAGAACTGAACTAGAACTGAATTAGAACTGAACTAGAACTGAACTAGAACTGAACTAGAACTGAACTAGAACTGAACTAGAACTGAACTAGAACTGAACTAGAACTGAACTAGAACTGAACTAGAACTGAACTAGAACTGAACTAGAACTGAACTAGAACTGAACTAGAACTGAACTAGAACTGAACTAGAAACTGAACTAGAACTGAACTAGAACTGAACTAGAACTGAACTAGAACTAACTGAACTGAACTAGAACTGAACTAGAACTGAACTAGAACTAGAACTGAACTAACTGAACTAGAACTGAACTAGACTGACTAGAACTAGAACTAGAACTGAACTAGAGCTGAACTAGAACTAAACTAGAAATGAACTAGAACTGAACTAGAAATGAATTAGAACTGAACTAGAACTGACTAGACTAACTAGAACTGAACTAGAACTGAACTAGAACTGAACTAGAACTGAACTAGAACTGAACTAGAACTGAACTAGAACTGAACTAGAACTGAACTAGAACTGAACTAGAACTGAACTGAACTGAACTAGAACTGAACTGAACTGAACTAGAACTGAACTAGAACTGAACTAGAACTGAACTAGAACTGAACTAGAAACTGAACTAGAACTGAACTAGAACTGAACTAGAACTGAACTAGAACTGAACTAGAACTGAACTAGAACTGAACTAGAACTGAACTAGAACTGAACTAGAACTGAACTAGAACTGAACTAGAACTGAACTAGAACTGAACTAGAACTGAACTAGAACTGAACTAGAACTGAACTAGAACTGAACTAGAACTGAACTAGAACTGAACTAGAACTGAACTAGAACTGAACTAGAACTGAACTAGAACTGAACTAGAACTGAACTAGAACTGAACTAGAACTGAACTAGAACTGAACTAGAACTGAACTAAAACTGAAGTAATAATGTTTTCTATAGTTCAGACTATATGGTCCAGTCTATGGTCTAACTTGTGCATAGCAATTACATTTATGGCGTAAAAGTCATTGTTTTTAAGAATATGTAAAAACAACCATTTCTCGAAAACATTCAAAAAAGGTTTTTAATTTAGGATTTTCGCATAAACACATCTTAAAGCTCTTCGTTATCATATTGAGAGCATAATCACCTGTTTAATCTAAAATATTTTTCTTTATTTTTATTTTTGTTTTTTATTTTCTCAATTTTAACATAATATACCATACAAATGTACAAAATTGGTTATTACGAGCAAATTTTTTTTTTTCCAAAAACACAGATACCAAACAAATGAATAAAAAAAAAAGAATGAAATGAAAGAATTTAAAACAATTTTTATTGAGTAAGTTTTGTTTTCATATTTTTGACTTAATTTCAGTTTCACACACAACATAACCGACCGGCCGTTCAGTCGACCGTTAAATAAAACAGACAATAATAACATTTTTGTTTGTGGGGCTATTATAGTTGTTATTGTAGCTTTTGTTGTTTAATACCAACTTGAAATCATATTAATAACTCCTTCAGGACACCAATCCATATAATCCATACAAGCATTAGTAACATTTTCGTTGTGTTCCTCACCATCGTTATTGGCCAAATACTGTCTGCCTTGCCATTCAGCACGATAGAGGTTGATGTCGTTTATATGATGATGTAGTGGTGATGTTTCTGGTTGGGATGTTGTGGGCCTATTCAACATATATAATCACAAGTAGAACAATAAGAAAAAATATGTTACCCAAATGAGTAATTATCATACATTTCATTTGTATGTATATTTTTTTTGCTTTTTGGGAAACAAGGATAATTGGAATGTATAGGATATAAGGAATATCAACAAATACGTAATAATACATGAGACAATAAGAATGCCAAGAGTTGGACATAATGGACTTTAAAGGAAACTAAATTAAAACATCAAAAAACATTTCTGTAAAGAAAAATTTTACCAAATATTTTCTAGTTCCTGAACTAGTTAAGTTCTACTAGTTCAGTTCTAGTTCAGTTCTAGTTCAGTTCTAGTTCAGTTCTAGTTCAGTTCTAGTTCAGTTCTAGTTCAGTTCTAGTTCAGTTCTAGTCAGTTCTAGTTCAGTTCTAGTTCAGTTCTAGTTCAGTTCTAGTTCAGTTCTAGTTCAGTTCTAGTTCAGTTCTAGTTCAGTTCTAGTTCAGTTCTAGTTCAGTTCTAGTTCAGTTCTAGTTCAGTTCTAGTTCAGTTCTAGTTCAGTTCTAGTTCAGTTCTAGTTCAGTTCTAGTTCAGTTCTAGTTCAGTTCTAGTTCAGTTCTAGTTCAGTTCTAGTTCAGTTCTAGTTCAGTTCTAGTTCAGTTCTAGTTCAGTTCTAGTTCAGTTCTAGTTCAGTTCTAGTTCAGTTCTAGTTCAGTTCTAGTTCAGTTCTAGTTCAGTTCTAGTTCAGTTCTAGTTCAGTTCTAGTTCAGTTCTAGTTCAGTTCTAGTTCAGTTCTAGTTCAGTTCTAGTTCAGTTCTAGTTCAGTTCTAGTTCAGTTCTAGTTCAGTTCTAGTTCAGTTCTAGTTCAGTTCTAGTTCAGTTCTAGTTCAGTTCTAGTTCAGTTCTAGTTCAGTTCTAGTTCAGTTCTAGTTCAGTTCTAGTTCAGTTCTAGTTCAGTTCTAGTTCAGTTCTAGTTCAGTTCTAGTTCAGTTCTAGTTCAGTTCTAGTTCAGTTCTAGTTCAGTTCTAGTTCAGTTCTAGTTCAGTTCTAGTTCAGTTCTAGTTCAGTTCTAGTTCAGTTCTAGTTCAGTTCTAGTTCAGTTCTAGTTCAGTTCTAGTTCAGTTCTAGTTCAGTTCTAGTTCAGTTCTAGTTCAGTTCTAGTTCAGTTCTAGTTCAGTTCTAGTTCAGTTCTAGTTCAGTTCTAGTTCAGTTCTAGTTCAGTTCTAGTTCAGTTCTAGTTCAGTTCTAGTTCAGTTCTAGTTCAGTTCTAGTTCAGTTCTAGTTCAGTTCTAGTTCAGTTCTAGTTCAGTTCTAGTTCAGTTCTAGTTCAGTTCTAGTTCAGTTCTAGTTCAGTTCTAGTTCAGTTCTAGTTCAGTTCTAGTTCAGTTCTAGTTCAGTTCTAGTTCAGTTCTAGTTCAGTTCTAGTTCAGTTCTAGTTCAGTTCTAGTTCAGTTCTAGTTCAGTTCTAGTTCAGTTCTAGTTCAGTTCTAGTTCAGTTCAGTTCTAGTTCAGTTCAGTTCTAGTTCAGTTCTAGTTCAGTTCTAGTTCAGTTCTAGTTCAGTTCTAGTTCAGTTCTAGTTCAGTTCTAGTTCAGTTCTAGTTCAGTTCTAGTTCAGTTCTAGTTCAGTTCTAGTTCAGTTCTAGTTCAGTTCTAGTTCAGTTCTAGTTCAGTTCTAGTTCAGTTCTAGTTCAGTTCTAGTTCAGTTCTAGTGTTCTAGTTCTAGTCAGTTCTAGTTCAGTTCTAGTTCAGTTCTAGTTCAGTTCTAGTTCAGTTCTAGTTCAGTTCTAGTTCAGTTCTAGTTCAGTTCTAGTTCAGTTCTAGTTCAGTTCTAGTTCAGTTCTAGTTCAGTTCTAGTTCAGTTCTAGTTCAGTTCTAGTTCAGTTCTAGTTCAGTTCTAGTTCAGTTCTAGTTCAGTTCTAGTTCAGTTCTAGTTCAGTTCTAGTTCAGTTCTAGTTCAGTTCTAGTTCAGTTCTAGTTCAGTTCTAGTTCAGTTCTAGTTCAGTTCTAGTTCAGTTCTAGTTCAGTTCTAGTTCAGTTCTAGTTCAGTTCTAGTTCAGTTCTAGTTCAGTTCTAGTTCAGTTCTAGTTCAGTTCTAGTTCAGTTCTAGTTCAGTTCTAGTTCAGTTCTAGTTCAGTTCTAGTTCAGTTCTAGTTCAGTTCTAGTTCAGTTCTAGTTCAGTTCTAGTTCAGTTCTAGTTCAGTTCTAGTTCAGTTCTAGTTCAGTTCTAGTTCAGTTCTAGTTCAGTTCTAGTTCAGTTCTAGTTCAGTTCTAGTTCAGTTCTAGTTCAGTTCTAGTTCAGTTCTAGTTCAGTTCTAGTTCAGTTCTAGTTCAGTTCTAGTTCAGTTCTAGTTCAGTTCTAGTTCAGTTCTAGTTCAGTTCTAGTTCAGTTCTAGTTCAGTTCTAGTTCAGTTCTAGTTCAGTTCTAGTTCAGTTCTAGTTCAGTTCTAGTTCAGTTCTAGTTCAGTTCTAGTTCAGTTCTAGTTCAGTTCTAGTTCAGTTCTAGTTCAGTTCTAGTTCAGTTCTAGTTCAGTTCTAGTTCAGTTCTAGTTCAGTTCTAGTTCAGTTCTAGTTCAGTTCTAGTTCAGTTCTAGTTCAGTTCTAGTTCAGTTCTAGTTCAGTTCTAGTTCAGTTCTAGTTCAGTTCTAGTTCAGTTCTAGTTCAGTTCTAGTTCAGTTCTAGTTCAGTTCTAGTTCAGTTCTAGTTCAGTTCTAGTTCAGTTCTAGTTCAGTTCTAGTTCAGTTCTAGTTCAGTTCTAGTTCAGTTCTAGTTCAGTTCTAGTTCAGTTCTAGTTCAGTTCTAGTTCAGTTCTAGTTCAGTTCTAGTTCAGTTCTAGTTCAGTTCTAGTTCAGTTCTAGTTCAGTTCTAGTTCAGTTCTAGTTCAGTTCTAGTTCAGTTCTAGTTCAGTTCTAGTTCAGTTCTAGTTCAGTTCTAGTTCAGTTCTAGTTCAGTTCTAGTTCAGTTCTAGTTCAGTTCTAGTTCAGTTCTAGTTCAGTTTAGTTCAGTTCTAGTTCAGTTCTAGTTCAGTTCTAGTTCAGTTCTAGTTCAGTTCTAGTTCAGTTCTAGTTCAGTTCTAGTTTAGTTCTAGTTCAGTTCTAGTTCAGTTCTAGTTCAGTTCTAGTTCAGTTCTAGTTCAGTTCCCGTTCAGTTCCCGTTCAGTTCTAGTTCAGTTCCCGTTCAGTTCTAGTTCAGTTCCAGTTCTAGTTCATTTCTAGTTCTGTTCTAGTTCCTAAACTTATATTACTTGCTATAGGGTCCTTACGAAATACTCTTTATGATAATCAAGCACATATTTCTTTTATCTTTAAAGCACTTTTAAAAATTTCGTTAAGAACGCAAACTTTACATTCCCAATCTTGTCTTATCGCTGCCACAATTGACTTTTATAAGAACCAAACAAAAATTATAAATTCGAATTAAAACAAGCACCAAAGGAAAAGTGAAAAGAAAAAAAAATAAAAATAAATTTCTGATAATTACATGAATAAAATCTTGAAAATGCTGCCCAAGACACCATTGTTTTCATGGAGGCTAGAGCCGAAACTTCACAAATTGTTCTCAGCAGACAGGCAGTGCCATTCATTTGAAAGTGGTCCAAATAACCCGTAACGAGCGGTAGATAGAATGAGCGACGACGATCATAATGAGGCAAGAAATCAGAACGTTTTTTTGCGATTATTAATAGGGGTCACATCATTGCCAATGCCCACAAATTCTTCATCAATGTTCCACTAAATATGAAAAGAGCACAATGAAATCTAAATTATAAAATGTATTTAAGTAAAAAAACTTACTCTATCAATCCATTCATTATAGGAGTCATTGGAGGGTAGACCATAATTAGATTCAAAATTAAAAGCCATATAAACATTACGATTAGGTAAATCCAAAGGCATGGCCACGGCTGCTAAGTACTAGCAAAATATTAATAATTTAATAATTTTTTTCAAAAACTAACATGATTTCATTAACTTACCCCAAACGATCCACCTCTTGGAAATAACACACAATTTATTCCATTCACCCTGACCAAGATAATTGTGGTCAGTAATTTTAGTATTGTTATGTGGGTCATTTGTACTTTATCTGTTTGTAGCAACAACATTTTGTATGTGTGTCTCTGACAGTTGTTAGTTTGCAACTGTTTGCTAAATTTATTATAGTCGAAGTTATGGTAAATTTTAAAAGAAAGTTGCAGTATGTGGTAATGTATAATTAATGCAGAATGAGAAGTGTTGAAGAAAATGAACAGGTGTTGCACTTCTTAAGATGAACTAGAGCGAACTAGAACATTACTAGAACATAATTAGAACAGAACTAGAACAACTAGAACATAATTGATAGAACAGAACTAAACTAGAACAGAACTAGAACAGAACTAGAACGAACTAGAACAGAACTAGAACAGAACTAGAACAGAACTAGAACAGAACTAGAACATAACATAACTAGAACAGAACTAGAACAAACTAGAACAGAATTAGAACAGAACTAGAACAGAACTAGAACAGAACTAGAACTAGACTAAACAGAACTAGAACAGAACTAGAACAGAACTAGAACAGAACTAGAACAGAACTAGAACAGAACTAGAACATAACTAGAACGAACTAGAACAGAACTAGAACAGAACGAACAGAACTAGAACAGAACTAGAACAGAACTAGAACAGAACTAGAACAGAACTAGAACAAACTAGAACAGAACAGAAACTAGAGAACTAGAACTAGAACAGAACAAACTAGAACAGAACTAGAACAGAACTAGAACAGAACTAGAAGAACTAGAACAGAACTAGAACAGAACTAGAACAGAACTAGAACAGAACTAGAACAGAACTAGAACAGAACTAGAACAGAACTAGAACAGAACTAGAACAGAACTAGAACAGAACTAGAACAGAACTAGAACAAACTAGAACAGAACTAGAACAGAACTAGAACAGAACTAGAACAGAACTAGAACAGAACTAGAACAGAACTAGAACAGAACTAAAGAACTAGAACAGAACTAGAACAGAACTAGAACAGAATAGAACAGAACTAGAACAGAACTAGAACAGAACTGGAACAGAACTAGACAGAACTAGAACAGAACTAGAACAGAACTAGAACAGAACTAGAACAGAACTAGAACAGAACTAGAACAGAACTAGAACAGAACTAGAACAAACTAGCAAACTAGAACAGAACTAGAACAGAACTAGAACGAACTAGAACAGAACTAAACAGAACTAGAACAGACACTAGAACAGAAACTAGAACAGAAACTAGAACAGAAACTAGAACAGAATAGAACAGAACTAGAACAGAATTAGAACAGAACTAGAAACAGAACTAGAACAGAACTGGAACAGAACTAGGACAGAACTAGAACAGAACTAGAACAGAACTATAACAGAACTAGAACAGAACTAGAACAGAACTAGAACAGAACTAGAACAGAAACTAGAACAGAAACTAGAACAGAAACTAGAACAGAACAGAAACCAGAACTAGAACAGAACTAGAACAGAACTAAAACAGAACTAAAACAGAACTAGAACAGAAACTAGAACAGAACTAGAACAGAACTAGAACAGAACTAGAACAGACTAGAACAGAACTCGAACAGAACTAGAAACAGAACTAAACAGAAACAGAACTAGAACAGAACTAGAACAGAACTAGAACAGAACTAGAACAGAACTAGAACAGAACTAGAACAGAACTAGAACAGAACTAGAAGAGCAGAACTAGAACAGAACTAGAACAGAACTAGAACAGAACTAGAACAGAACTAGAACAGAACTAGAACAGAACTAGAACAGAACTAGAACAGAACTAGAACAGAACTAGACAGAACTAGAACAGAACTAGAACAGAACTAGAACAGAACTAGAACAGAACTAGAACAGAACTAGAACAGAACTAGAACAGAACTAGAACAGAACTAGAACAGAACTAGAACAGAACTAGAACAGAACTAGAACAGAACTAGAAACAGAACTAGAACAACTAGAACAGAACTAGAACTAGAACAGAACTAGAACAGAACTAGAACAGAACTAGAACAGAACTAGAACAGAACTAGAACAGAACTAGAACCAGAACTAGAACAGAACTAGAACAGAACTAGAACAGAACTAGAACAGAACTAGAACAGAACTAGAACAGAACTAGAACAGAACTAGAACAGAACTAGAACAGAACTAGAACAGAACTAGAACAGAACTAGAACAGAACTAGAACAGAACTAGAACAGAACTAGAACCAGAACTAGAACTAGAACAGAACTAAAACAGAACTAGAACAGAACTAAACAGAACTAGAACAGAACTAGAACAGAACTAGAACAGAACTAGAACAGAACTAGAACAGAACTAGAACAGAACAGAATAGAACTAGAACAGAACTAGAACAGAACTAGAACAGAGCTAGAACAGAACTAGAACAGAACTAGAACAGAACTAGAACAGAACTAGAACAGAACTAGAAAACTAGAACAGAACTAGAACAGAACTAGAACAGAACTAGAACAGAACTAGAACAGAACTAGAACAGAACTAGAACAGAACTAGAACAGAAGTAGAACAGAACTAGAACAGAACTAGAACAGAACTAGAACAGAACTAGAACTGAACTAGAACAGAACTAGAACAGAACTAGAACGAACTAGAACAGAACTAGAACAGAACTAGAACAGAACTAGAACAGAACTAGAACAGAACTAGAACAGAACTAGAACAGAACTAGAACAGAACTAGAACAGAACTAGACAGAACTAGAACAGAACTAGAACTGAACTAGAACTGAACTAGAACACAACTAGAACTGAGCTTTCACCTTATCTATGCACCACCTTGTACAGAATGTTAGAAATCTTTAAAATCTCTTGGAGAAGATACTTTTCATAAACTCAAAGCATTTTAGTCTTAGAATATGTTTGACGTTTGATGTGAGATGTCGTGCCAGTTAAAGGTCTAATCAAAAGTGCTAATTACAAAAACGGGTTTAAAAACTCTTTACTTTTACTGAATAGTACAAGATTAAACTGCATGAGGAAGTATAGTTTATTATTGTCTTAACTTTTTTTAAATAGTAAAAACTAATGAAAATCTTTGGTTATTAAGAAACCAAAATAAAACAATACATTTAGTCTGTGCTGAAACGTAACGAAAGATTTCACAAATTTTCACATCTTGGTGAGATTTTTTTTGATGAAATAACGTAAAGAATTTATTTTATTAACAAGAATTTTAATACCGTTCTTTAAAAGATTTTGGAAAATATGAGTAAATTTGGTTTTTATATTGTGAGTGGAATTTTTATTTTATTGCTACCGGTGGAAGCTGTAATAGTGCCATTATTGGTCTTCCCACGGACAGCGCCCACCAGAATACAGGTGAATTAAATAGGAAGAAAATTTTTAGAAAGTTTGAAAAACTCAACAATTTAAATTCTGAAAATTTTAAATCTAGTTTAAAAAATTTAATTTTTTTATTGTTTTTAGTGGATTTCCGGCATAGGTATACCTTTGGACAACTTAAAATATGAAGCCATGACAACGGGTTATGTCCTCAAGGCAGAATATTTTCTACCCGAAAATGTTACCCAATTAAAAATTCGAACTGTAATGCCATTTCAAAAACGTAGTATCAGAAAACCCATAAAATTGGACAAGTTTTTATCCACACCGAAAGAAGCGCCCCTACAAAATAAGGAAGAGTTTTTAAGAATTAATAAAAAAGTTGTACTTAGTAGTTATCGGTGGACTATATATAAAGGGTTAGAGGGATTGGCACAACGGTAAGGATTGTTTTAAATACATTAGAATTTAATATTAACTTTATAATTACCTTTCAATTACAGCATGGGCCTTTCTGGACGCGATTGCGTTTTGAAAAGTATTTGTGAGGCTGCCGAGACAAACTTCCATTATTATAATGGTTTGGTAGCAGAGTTACTGCATATTTTATTAACGTAAGTACTATTTCAGTTACACCCTGCTATATTAGTTACTAAAGTTCTGTATTGTTATTAAGGCCTTCCTCATCTGCCGACAAATTATCAACTCATTCGGATAATGAATATTATCATGCAGAACATTTGGGTCGTTCGGGAGCAAATTGTCATAGAGTTTTTAAGTCTTGTTCTCGCTCTCTTTTAGAACATTTTACAGATATACATCATTTATCGGAAGGTGTTAGGAGTATATTGGGTTAGATTTTTAATTATCTTATGAAATTGTTGTTGTTTATTGAATAAAAATAGAATTTTGACTGATTAGTAATAAAGATAAAGGAACTTTTTAAATATTTCTTTTAACGAGAGTGGACTCTAGGCGGAACTAATATCTGTACTAAAAATAGTAACAGAGTCCTAGCTACAGAGGGAGCTAGGTTATGTAATACTATAATCTGAAATAGTTTGGACCCTAGTCCTGACTTAACAATTGTATATAGTCTCCACTATAGGCAAGACTATTGCCTGGACTATAGACAAGACTATACTCTAGACTATAGACAAGACTATAGTCTGGACTATAGACAAGACTATAATCTGGACTATAGACAGGACTATAGTCTGGATTATAGACAAGACTATAGTCTGGACTACAGACAAGACTATAGTCTGGACTAGAGACAAGACTATAGTCTAGACTAGAGACAAGACTATAGTCTGGACTATAGACAAGACTATAGCCTAGACTATAGACAATACTATAGTCTGGACTATAGACAATACTATAGTCTGTACTATAGACAAGATTATAGTCTGGACTATAGACAAGACTATAGTCAGGGCTATAGACAAGATTATAGACAAGACTATAGTCTGGACTATAGATAAGACTATAGTCTGAACTATAGATAAAACTATAGTCTGGACTATAGGCAAAACTATAGTGTTGACTATAGACAATACTATAGACAGAAGTATAGTGCAGACTATAGACAGAACAATAGTCTAGACTATAGACAGAACAATAGACAAAATTATAGTCTGGACTATAGACAAAACTATAGTCTGGACTATAGACAAAACTATAGTATGGACTATAGACAAAACTATTGTCTGGACTATCGACAAGACTATAGTCTGGACTATAGACAAGACTATAGTCTAAACTATAGGCAAGGCTTTAGCGTGGACTATAGCCAATACTACAGTCTGGACTACTGGCAAGACTATATTTTGGACTATAGAAAAAACTATAGTCTGGACTATAGACAACACTATAGTCTGGACTAGAGACAATACTATAGTCTGGACTGTAGACAAAGCTATAGTCTGGACTATAGAAAAAGCTATAGTCTGGATTATGGACAAGACTATAGTCTGGACTATAGACAAGACTATAGTCTGGATTATAGACAAGGCTATAGTCTGGACTATAGACAAAACTATAGTCTGGACAATAGACAAAACTATAGTCTGGACTATAGACAAAACTATAGTCTGTTCTATAGACAATACTATAGACAGAACTATAGCCTAGACTATAGACAGAACTATAGCCTAGACTATAGACAGAACTATAGCCTAGACTATAGACAGAACTATAGTCTAGACTATAGACAGAACTATAGTCTGGACTATAGACAGAATTATAGTCTGGACTATAGACAGAACTATAGTCTGGACTATAGACAAAACTATAGTCTGGACTATAGACAAAACTATAATCTTGACTATAGGCAGAACTATAGTTTGGACTATAGACAAGACTATATTCTGGACTATAGACAAGACCATAGTCTGGACTATAGACAAGACTATAGTCTGGACTAGAGACAAGACTATAGTCTGGACTATATACAAAACTATAGTCTGGACTATAGTGTTGTCTATAGACAAAACTATAGTGTGGACTATAGACAATACTATAGAAAGACTATAAACAGAACTATAGTCTAGAGTCTAGACTATAAACAAAACTATAGTCTGGATTATAGACAAACTATAGTCTGGAATACAGACAATACTATAGAAAGAACTATAATCTAGACTATAGACAGAACTATAGTCTAGACTATAGACAGAACTATAGTCTAGACTATAGGCAGAACTATAGTCTAGACTATAGATAAAACTATAGTCTGGACTATAGGCAGAACTATAGTCTAGACTATAGATAAAACTATAGTCTGGACTATAGGCAAAACTATAGTCTGGACTATAGACAAAACTATAGTCTGACTATAGACAAAACTATAGTCTGGACTATAGACAAAACTATAGTCTGGACTATAGACAAAACTATAGTCTGGACTATAGACAAAACTATAGTCTAGACTATAGACAAAACTATAGTCGGTACTATAGGCAGAATTATAGTTTGGACTGTAGACAAGATTATAGACAAGACTATAGTCTGGACTACAGACAAGACTCTAGTCTGGGCTGTAGACAAAACTATGGACAGAACTTTAATCTAGACTATTGACAGAACTATAGTCTAGACTATAAACAAAACTATAGTCTGGACTATAGACAAAACTATAGTCTGGACTATAGACAAGACTATATTCTGGACAATAGTCAAGTCTTTAGTCCAGACTATAGGCAAGACTATAGCGTGAACTATAGACAATACTATAGTCTGGACTATAGACAAAACTATAGTTTTGTCTATAGTCCAGCCTAAAGTTTTGTCTATAGTCCAGCCTAAAGTTTTGTCCATAGTCCAGACTATAGTTTTGTCTATAGTCCAGACTATAATTTTGTCTATAGTCCACAGACAAGACTATAGTCTGGTCTATGAACCAGACTATAGTCTGGTCTATGGACAAGGCTATTGTCTGAACTATGGACAAGACTACAGTCTGCACTATACATTTCTCGCTATATGAAGACGTATCATGATAGATGATCTGAAAAATATTCTCAGTTTTTTGTTAGTTGTAGATCTTAATACAGTCTTAAGTTTCTTTTCGTCATATTACATAATACTCTTACAATACAGTCATTAATTAATTATCTTCAACTTTATAATTTCAAATAATTTCTTATTTTATTTTGAATAATTACGGAAGTCTAAGAAGCATAACAAATCTATGTGAGAAACTCTTAACAAACAAAAAAAAAAAAGCAACAAACAAAATAATTATTAAGTATTTTCCGTAATTATTTCCGATATTTTTGCATAAACTTTCTATGTAAATTTGATAATTATATATAATAACTCATTTTTGTAAAAATTTTTAAATTTAAATACCTGCTTGCCTTAAGAAATGGCCGGAGTGTTTGGTTTATAGAATAGTGGAAAAAAGGTGGCAAACGCTTTAGGTGGTCTTTAAACTAAAACCCAAATAACAGCGGCACTAAATCAGTAATTATATATTTGAATATAATTTGTTTGTAGAAAATCATAAATACAAAGAAGAAGAAGAAACAAAAGAATGAATTATAAGGGAACCAAAGCAACAACAAGTTTTTTTTTTAAATAAATGATGATGAGATGAAATGATAAAATTAAACTAAAATAACTACAAATCTATAATTATAATTTTCCATGTCTGCATACATTTATATATACATTCAGCTATATATACATATTTATGTTAATTTAATAATTTTAATGGGTTTTTAATACAAAATTATTTGAAGTTGTGAAAAAAAGAAGAATTTTTGTTTCTTCTAAGTACTAATGGTTGTTTTTGAAAAATGAATTTTTTAAATGTTTTCGATAGAGGTTCTTTTTCTCATTTCTATAGAATACTATATGAAATTGTAGTTATATGATGTGTCAGTCAGTAGCTGAGGCATGACGAATATAGATTATGATTTAAACTTCTTAAGTTACAGTATAAAAGGTGTAGAAGTTCATTAGATATTTGAGAAATATGAATAATATTAGCTAATAGCAAGCGAGTGCCGGTCAACATGTTTAAGAAGTATCTTACAGTAATATTTAGTCCATAAGGAAGACAATAGACTTATGCCTCTGAAGTACTGAATATAGTATTTTCTATAGTCCAGAAAATAGTTAAGTCTATAGTCAATATTATAGACTTATTATTATAGTCCAGACAATAGTTTTGTCTCTAGTCCAAACTATAGTATTGTCTATAGTCCAGACTATAGTCTTGTCTATAGTCCAGACTATAGTCACGACTATAGACTTGTCTATAGTCAAGACTATAGTCTAGTCTACAGTCAAGACTATAGTCTAGTCTATAGTCAAGACTATAGTCTAGTCTATAGTCAAGACTATAGTCTAGTCTATAGTCAAGACTATAGTCTAGTCTATAGTCAAGACTATAGTCTAGTCTATAGTCAAGACTATAGTCTAGTCTATAGTCAAGACTATAGTCTAGTCTATAGTTAAGACTATAGTCTATTCTATAGACAAGACTATAGTCTATTCTATAGTCAAGACTATATTTTATTGTATAGTCTATTCTATAGGCAAGACTATAGTCTATTCTATAGTCAAGACTACAGTCTAGTCTATAGTCCAGACTATAGTCTAGTCTGTAGTCAAGACTATAGTCTAGTCTGTAGTCAAGACTATAGTCTAGTCTGTAGTCAAGACTATATTCTAGTCTATAGTCTGGACAATAGACTAGACTGTAGTCTTGACAATGGACTAGACTATAGTCTTGACTATAGCATAGACTATAGTCTTGACTATAGACTAGAATATAGTCTTCACTATAGACTAGACTATAGTCTTGACTATAGACTAGAATATAGTCTTGACTATAGACTAGACTATAGTCTTGACTATAGACTAGACTATAGTCTTGACTATAGACTAGACTATAGTCTTGACTATAGACTAGACTATAGTCTTGACTATAGACTAGACTATAGTCTTGACTATAGACTAGACTATAGTCTTGACTATAGACTAGACTATAGTCTTGACTATAGACTAGACTATAGTCTTGACTATAGACTAGACTATAGTCTTGACTATAGACTAGACTATAGTCTTGACTATAGACTAGACTATAGTATTAACTATAGACTAGACTATAGTATTAACTATAGACTAGACTATAGTATTAACTATAGACTAGACTATAGTATTAACTATAGACTAGACTATAGTCTTGGCTATAGACTAGACTTTAGTATTGACTATAGACTAGACTATAGTATTGACTATAGAGTAGACTATAGTATTGACTATACACTAGACTATAGTATTGACTATACACTAGACTATAGCCTTGACTATAAAATTGACTATAGTCTTGAGTATAGAATATACT